GGCTGTTTCTATCTTGGTTTTCTTTGAGAAATATTCACTATTTTTTCCCAGGCTCTGGATAGAGATGTTTGTGTTTGGATGTCTGTTTGTACATATTAATTTTCTGTGAGTTATTGTTTTTATATAACCACAACTACTCTTGTGCCTTCTTTCACCATTTCTAAATTTGTTGACGAAAATGTACATAATACAGATGGATGTTCACAGTGCATGGGGATGCAGAATAGAATGGAGGAAGATGATAGGTTGATAGATTTCCAAAAAGAGTATTTGTGGGAAATGCCGTAATGAAATCAATTATAAAACAAAAAATTTATAGATCAAAAAGAAGCAACCATGCAAGGTAGGTTTTGTAAACATCTCACTATGTCAAAATGTCCTGTCATACACATTATGTATGCACAATATATTTTTATTATTTTATTTTTTGAAGTTATTATGTAATTACACAGTTCTTCCTTTCCCATTGTTCCCTCCAACCTTTCCTACGCACCACCCTGCTCAAATCCATGACCTTTCTTTATAAATTGTTATTGTATGTATGCACATGTGTGTATGTGTTTGTGTGTCTTTGTGTATCATATATATATAATATGTATATTCATAAATATATATGTTTATGTATAATCTGCAGAGTCCATCCACTCTTGCCTACAGGTTTGTGACGCCAGAGTTGATGACTTGGTATTGCTTGATATGACTTGGTATCACCTGTCTTCTTGCTCTTGCATGTGAATGAAGTTCTTCTCCTTCCAGCCTTTCCCAGTTGCCCAAAGTTTAATGTACACGTTTCTTCATTTTAGTACATATATTGGTGTCTTCCTTTGTGCAGGTTTTGTTTAGGTATCCACGTTGATGAGACTTCATGGGTATATCCTCTCTGTCATAACTAGGAGTCACAATCTCACAGCAAATTTCCTGTACCTCTGCCATTTGTTTTTCCTTAAGTGTAGAAATTATGTTGTAGGTCTATCAGTTGAGCTGGGATGAGGTGCCATCACTTGATCTCTTGTCCTCTATATGTTGATCAGTTTCAATATTCACTAATGGTCTCTGTTCCAAAGAGAAGGTTCTTTGATAATGCATAAGAACTATACTTATTTATGCATATAAAAATCCATGTATAGAATGTAGTTAGAGCTTTTGCTAGTTGAATAAAGTGCAGTTGTAGGTTCTTCTCCAAGATTCATTGACTAGGCTCAGGTTGTTGGCCATGTTTCTAGTGTCAGAAATGACTTTCTTCTTGTTGAGCAGCACTAGTCCAACAGGAGAGCTATTAGTTACTGCCAAGGTATTGTACCTGTATTGTACTCATATTGTTAGTGCACCATGCTGGTCAACTTTATGTTTGAAAAGCCTCATAGCTGAGTAGGGCTATTGTTGCCACCTTCCTCAGGGAGGATGTTTTCATGGTCAATTCAAGCTCAGAAACTCTGGGGCCCTGTATTTAAAGTGCATGATATCTTCATCATTAAGGATGTACCACCCACACATGAGAAATAACTGAAGACAACAGTAATAGTCTATAAAGTTTTGGGAGTCATATGATCAACCTGAACAGTCACTCAAAAGGGGGTCCTCTAATGCTTTGTTTTGGAGTTTCATTAGGATAATCTATTGTTCTTGTGAAGAGCATTATCTACAAAGTGGAAATTTTTGATTTAAATAATATATGTATACACAATAATATGTGTACTATATGTAATTTTAGTTTAAAAAATAGGATGGGGATCTGAACAAAGAATTCTAACAAGAAAAAAAAAGCTAGTAAATATCTTTAAAATTTCAGTCACCCATAGCAATTAATGGAATGAAAATCAGAATAACTAGAGAGTTCTCTTACACCAGTAAAAATGGTGAAGACCAACAAAACAACTAACAACAAGTGCTGGAGAATGTGAGAGGAAGGAGAACTACCATTCACTGTTGTTGTGATGGCAAACTTGTTCAACCACTCTGGAAATCAGCGAGAAGAATCTCCAAAACATATGGCTGGGCGGTGGTGGCACACACCTTTAATCCCAGCACCCAGGAGGCAGAGCCAAGCGGATCTCTGTGAGTTGGAGGCCAGCCTGGTCTACATAGCGAGATCCAGGACAGGCACCAAAACTACACAAAGAAACCTTGTCTTGAAAAACAAAACAAAACAAAATCTTCAAAATGCTAGAAACATTTTTACCATATGGCCCAGCTATGTCACACTTTTATATAGGAATGGGCATCCTACTCCACAGATATTTGTTCTGATATGTTCATTACTGCTTTACTCACAACAACTAAGAAAGTGAAACAACTAAAAGGTCTTTCTTCTGAGGAATGGATAATGAAAATATGCCATATATACAATCTGGGATACTAATCAGCTCTTAAGAAAAAGAAAGCCATGAAGTTTTCAGACAAATGGGTGGAACTAGAAAAGATCATATTTTGCGAGATAATCCAGATTGAGAAAGAAAATCATGATCTTTCTTATTTGTTGATTCTGTTCAGAATCTTTAGTTTTGAACACATAACCTGAAGTAACCACAGAAAACAGGAGAATAGTAAGAAACTATGAGGGAAAGTAGGGTAAAAGGAACACTGTAGAGGGGACTTTCTTCAGGCTCTTACATAGCTTACTATGATCTGTGCATCATAGTCTTCTAGAAAAGCAGGTAGCAAGAGAAACAATGATAGTCACTGTATCTATTAATGCAGCAGGCCTTAAAACACTTTAAAATCATGCATTGTTAAACAAATTCATGTATTATTTACAAATAGTAAGTTTAAACATAGTGATGCATCTGAAAATGCTTAAAAGTGTGTTTACTCACCATATATTGTGAAACTCCAAAATATCACTTCAATTTATCAAATCTAATCAATCTTTTAACACCTATTAATGTAGCTAGAGTTTTCCTGCCTGGCCCACAGTCAGGGCAAATCTCTCTCACCTGCCAGTCCCACAGCCGCTCAAACCCGACCAAGTAAACACAGAGATTTATATTGCTTACAAACTGTATGGCCGTGGCAGGCTTCTTGCTAACTGTTCTTACAGCTTAAATTAATCCATTTCCATTAATCTATACCTTGCCACATGGCTTGTAGCTTACCGGCATCTTCACATGCTGTTTCTCATCGTGGTGGCTGGCAGTGTCTCTCTGACTCAGCCTTCCACTTCCCAGCTTTATTCTCCTCCTTGTCCTGCCTACACTTCCTGCCTAGCCAATGGCCAATCAGTGTTTTATTTATTGACAAATCAGCAACACATTTGCCATACAGACCATCCCACAGCACTCCCCCCCTTTTTTTTTTTTCAAAAAGGAAGGTTTTAACCTTAACAAAGTAAAATTACATATAATTTGGGAATTTGGGCATAGCTTCTCTTACTACTTCCTGCTGGAGGGGGGCGCTGTATCTTATGGGGACATAAAGAAAATTTTAGGATCATGGAGTAGTTCGTGAGGCTGTATCGTCTGAGCCAGTTACCTTGAAACCATTCTGGATGTTGGATCATCTGGGCCTTGGTGTCACCTTTCAGGGGGTCTTGGCTGGTCAAACCTGATGTATCTTAATCTGGAACAAATCCATAGCCTCTGGCTTTCTGTGAGAACAAAAGCAGAGTCTCCTTTCCAACGCAACATATCCTTATATCCAAAATTTGAAGTCAAGGTATCTTTAAAATATATATATCAGTTTAACTCAACAGTTTTTACAATCAAATGTTTTTCTGCAGTTAAAAATCCCAAAGACAACACAATCCAGATTCTCTGTGTAATATCCACTTTTACGTGGCTTATTTTTTATATTAATTTTACTGTCTCTTTAAAGACTTTATTTTTAAAAACTATGTATTTGTTTCTATAACTGTATATATCACCTTTTTTGTCTCTTTCAAGCCTACGTATATTTTACACACATTACAAACTATTACATCTGAATCTGTCTTATTGTGAATCTATTGCTTTAAACTGCAGCAGCTGTGGCTGCTGGCTCCGCCCACCTCAGCTTCCCAACATGGCGGTGGTTTACCACCAGCTCTGGGAGCTATCGTGGGTCTATGCTTTTATCCAAGCAGCATGTAGCCCAGAAACCTCTTTTTTGTTTTGTGCTAGCAAAGTCTAAATCCACCATTCAGCTTAATGTGCTACTTGCAGAAGCCTAGTTCCTGCCGCCATACTGCAGGTCGAGTGTACACTCTAGGAACCCGACAGTAGCTCAAACCGGCAGCTGCCGCTCATTTGAGAGAGACAATTAGAAACTGTTTTTAGCTCCGTTTTAGAATCTTTTTTGTCAGTTTTTAGGTGGAAACTCTTGCCACCATGTTGGACACCATTTGTAGCTAGAGTTTTCCTGCCTGGCTCACAGTCAGGGCAAATCTCTCTCACCTGCCAGTCCCACAGCCGCTCAAACCCAACCAAGTAAATACAGAGACTTATATTGGTTACAAACTGTATGGCCGTGGCAGGCTTCTTGCTAACTGTTCTTACAGCTTAAATTAATCCATTTCCATTAATCTATACCTTGCCACATGGCTTGTGGCTTACCGGCATCTTCACATGCTGTTTGTCATCATGGCGGCTGGCAGTGTCTCTCTGACTCAGTCTTCCACTTCCCAGTTTTATTCTCCTCCTTGTTCCGCCTATACTTCCTGCCTAGCCAATGGCCAATCAGTGCTTTATTTATTGACTAATCAGCAACACATTTGCCATACAGACCATCCCACAGCATATTAATTTACTTGTGTAGTGCAGCCTGACATTAACCCCCCCATATCCAATTGTTTTGACATAGTAAGTAATGGTTTGATAAAATTACCAATGTTACCTTATATTTGTTGGCAAATAAATATTGAAATTGGATAAATATAATTGATTTAGGAACTGCAAGTGGATGTTGGAATTGAGACTATTAAACCAAAACTGCTAAGGCACCCTTTTAAAATGAAGCCCTAATGAATATATAAAATGTGCTTACAAAGTGAATAATTGTATTAAAATTACAATAAAATGACATATCTCATGCCTTAAACTTATGAGTAAGGAAAATAACAATGTGGGGTGACGCCAGAGTCCTCACTGCTAATATGAGAAGAATTTTTGAGCGGGTAAAGGTTGCCCCCTAGGCGACCTTCCTACTTTGTGGTATGCCTGGGTGCGATAGTCTGCCTGACACCATATATGCTAAGGAAAGTCAGAAAGTTGACAAGCTGTTTGCACAGTTGTCCGGAGAGATGTTTTCTAAACAAACTGTTAAAAATGGCATATCTCTTTGACAGGAAGCTTCGTATATGTAATTAGTATGACAAGCTAAATTTATGTAAAGAAAAATAAAAAGAAACCTTCAGAATTTGGTGTAAATATTGTTCTTCCTGAAAATCTCTAAAATCTGTAAATTTCTGAATTTATATAATCAATAAAGTGACATTTATATAGGCATTACTTTTAAAACTATGCTTTTACGTATATCAAATATTTGGAAGCTATACTCATTGATTTTTATGTATTTTGGCAGCATATCAACATGAATTAACATAAATACTTTCACATATTTTCTATTTTACATTAAATAATTTAAAAAAACTTTTATATCAATGTAATAGTTATATTTGGTGGTTAGTATTTTAATAATTTGATTATCTACCTTGTGCATAAACTTTAAAAATATAGCTGAGAATTACATGATGAGTTATTAGGAATCCATACTGTTTTAATGGGATAATATTAACACATTTCATTTAATTTTTTCAAAATGGAGAGAATATATTGTTGGATAAAATTTGTCTTCTGTGTGATTAATTACTATAACTGTATCTACTGAAAGCAGGCATTTGCTCAGATTCTAAACACATGAGGAACCAAGAAATTATGTTTCCAATCATCTCATTTTCCAAATGATTGTGTTTATTGAAAATTTTAAACAATCCAGGCAAACTTAAGCTTCAACTATTTATTCAAAGAACTGCACTAAATAACAATACAATATATATCAAAATATAGAATATGTAAGATATATAGAAATATCTCATAGAGTCAGCTATTCTTCCTAAAGGCATATTAGGCCTTATTTAGTAGTTGAAAGGAAAGTTTTATGTGATGTAAACAACTATCTCTGTGTCATAGAATAAAAGCTACAAAAGTTAACCTTCTGATCAGTCTTTCTAGTGCAAAATGAGAATCCAGTCTGGGATCCCAAGCCATTCCTTTCTTTTTTTCTGATATGCATTTATAAATTCTGAAAATGATTGAATAAATAGTTTTTAAAACAAATACAAATTCAGATGGATTACTGCTCAAAATGTTCCATGTCCAGAGTGGGAAATCTTTTACCCTGGGGCTCCCCACCTCTAGGACAGAATTACAATTACTAAAGCTTAAACCTAGCAGGAAAATTTTAGATCATGGATTCAGATGGGAGGGATGGTGAAGATGAGTAACCATAATTCTGATATATTATGTGAGCAAAATATCTATTTTTCAAAAAAGGGGGAAATATATGCTCTTTCAATAGGGTTCAGGTTAAAACTGTTTAAGTTACATGTGTCTGACATATCTGTGTTAACTAAAACATTATCAGAGACATGTAAAATTCAGACATGTAGAAGAATCTTAAAATTAACCTTTTTGAAAATATTGTGTGTCTAGACATAAATGGTTATGTTTTTATTTCATTTCTCACATGGTTTTCTCAGATTATATCAAATCTGAATTAGATCTCTAAGAAATAGTGAATTGCTAATGTTCTCTTCAGTCAATATTCAGCCTTCTGTTAGTTGGTTTCTTTTACAAAGTGACTATAAATAAATGAATAAGTAAATAGAAAAATTATAAGAGAAATAATCCAGGGATCAGGGAGAAAGGATTATTTATTCTGTGAACAGCACAACATGGCAGATGTACTCTGATCCAACAATGAGAAAATACTTATTTTGAGAGAAATATTTTCCTACCTTTTAGAAAAATTATTGGTATTTTAAATAACTTTTAATTCATCTTGCTACCGACAAACATACTTTAGGATCTTGATAAATAAGCTCTATAAAAGAAGAGCACCCTAATTAGTATAGAAATCATATGGGGAACTTAGTATTATCAAATAAAAAGGAAGCTTTTGAAGAGCAAGAATGTTCCATTGTCAATAGTTAATCCCCATGTAATGTAGATGACCTTTAGAGTTCAAAGTCTACTGGAATGGTCTGGGATCTCTAATTCCTCTCTGAACACTTTCACTCTTCCAATTCCACCTGATTCCCTGGGTCCTGTCACAAATTAACACTGAATTCTCTCTCTGTTTTCCCTAAGAGGAACTGTATAAATTAAATTGCCAGATGAAATACTCTTAAGGTTTGCTGTTTCTCAACATAATCAAGGGCTCTGTGTTGCTTGAATGTAACCAGCTACTCTGCTTTTCTTATGCTTAAGTCAACCCCAAGCTCACTAATCCAAAGGGAGAAGGCTTCTAATGATGTACTGAGAAGACAGGGAGGCCATTTCATCAGTGGAATTAATATGAGTTTATAGCCAAAATCTCCCACACACTGAAGATTAGAAGTGATAATAAGACTAATGCTAATTCTTCAGAGGAATAAATTTATCTGTGTTTACTCATCTATCTAATAACTTAAAAAATCAATACATGTATTTATGCATTTTGGATGTATGCCTCTGGATTATGCATGTTGGCAGAATCAATGCCACAGTGCACATGAGATCATGGGACAGACTGTAGGGGGCAATTCTTTTTGTTCACCATGTCCACCTTGGAGATTGATCCAACTCACATCATCAGACTTGGTAAAAAGTGCTTTTCCCTGCTAATCTACCTTGCTTTCCCTTCTCTTAATATTTTGCATTACTTTTTCATTTCTAACTTATATGTTAATAGAGAATTTAGAGTCTGTATATTTCATGAAAATTAAATATTTTGTTGCAACAAAAATAACACATACATTTAGACTTGGACTTGGCTATTAGCACCTGTTATTATACAGGAAATCTCCAAGCATAAAATAACTTCATAATGTCTTTATGAGTTTCTATGGTGATAAGGAGTTTTCTCTGATAGACAAATATAGTTGAATAAGCATTAGTATCTCTTGCACTATAAATTCTGTTGTCATTATCTGTTTAAGTCATTAATTTCATACACTGTTCCTAAATCTCTCCTCAAAGTGTGTAAAAACTTAAAATAGCTTCTATTGTGAAACTTCTTAGGAAATGCAGCTGGGTAATGTGTTCACCTCCAGTGGTGCCGAAATATTTCAATGACACCTAAATGCACTCTCCAGAACATTTGTGAGACAGCTAACATGCCCATTATAGAAGCTTCTGTTAAACATTCCTGCAGTTATGTTTCCCAGGGAGTTAATTTATGGACCTGAAGAATGTGCTATTGGTGTCAATTAAGCTGAATTTGGATTTTCTGTAATCAGAATATGTTAATTGAAATATACTCACAATTTTTTCGTATGGCTAATCAGTTCCAGTCTTTGGCATATTCATTCCATAGCTTCTCCATTTTGTTTCCACATTTCACTGATGACCTCTACATGAAGTTGAATGTGGCATCATCTAGAGACATTTCTCTAATAGAATCTGAATACTGTAATAGCTGGCACATGTAGTCATCTTACAGAACAAAGTACAGACATTATATTACTAGAATTTTATATAACATCATGTTTTATTTTAATCACGCCTCATTACATGTACTTGGAGGGAGAGGTTACTATGAGTGCGGTATGGCAATGTCTAACATCAGAACAGCAAGCCTCTGTGTGTTAGTGAGGGTGTGTTGGTTGTTTACTTTTCTGTAATGGGTATGATATATGGACTGAGGCTCATTTGATAGCCACAACAAAATAGGCTTCATTTTCTTTGTCAAAACCGATGTTGACATGAAATGACATCTAGGTTTATATTTATATTTATATCAGTTTATATTTCTGTGTCTTATTTAATTATATAACACATGTTTTCTGCTCCAATATAATGGTCAAATGTAGATTACTTGTGGAAAATAATATTTACTCTCAGTATTCATTCAAATTCTGGACCTTGATTTTATATTTTTAACACTATAGCTCAATTTTGACATAGCATCATTCATCAGAAGTTATGGAAAAAATATTTTAAAATGAATTATAAGAACATTTGGAAATTGGGTCTAGGAATAAATTATCCCCATTATTTCTGTGTTTATTACATTGTGTTCATATGTACCTGGGTTCTTCTAATATCATGAGCATTTAGAAATATAATCTAAAAATTGTATATAACAAAAGTTATATAGGGGTATCTGAAGATTAATATTCTCTTGAATGGTATCTGACCTCTTATTCTTAACTTTTCAAATTTAATGTCTTCTGATGTGTATGCTATCTGAATGTGAAATGTATTTGTTTCCACTTAATAAATTGTGCTAAATTTTCCATGTTTTGTAATGAAGTGATTGTCTGAACTTTGAGCTACTGGAAATTGACTCCAGATGCTCAAAGATGCTAGCAGATACTTCACTCTTGAGCCTCATCCAGAGATACGTTATGTTTTTTTTTTTTTTTGGTTTTTCGAGACAGGGTTTCTCTGTGTAGCTTTGCGCCTTTCCTGGGACTCACTTGGTAGCCCAGGCTGGCCTCGAACTCGCAGAGATCCGCCTGGCTCTGCCTCCCGAGTGCTGGGATTAAAGGCGTGCGCCACCACCGCCCGGCACGTTATGTTTTAAAGTCTAGTTATTATCAGTATTTATTTTGACAGGCACCTTGATGATAGAATTTTCCTGCGATTATAAATAATAAAGATCTGTTTGGGAAAATGTCATAGCTTATATTTAAATCTAGAAAAGCATAATTTCCAAACTAATGATTACTATAATAGAAATCATCAGAAAAGAGTAAATTCAATCTGTCTTTGAAGATTGTTTGTCCATATATGGTTTCTATGTCTTTGACTCAGAACATTCTGTATGGTATATGAATATGTAAACCCATGCAGAGAATTTATAATTTGTGAATATGAAATATACATTAATGCTTTTTAAAAAGAACACATTATGTCTTCACTAAAATGAGCAATGATATCATCAATAGGCCAGATTGTGGAAGTTTGATATATTTGTCACTATATTACTTCCATTAAGTTGAGTTTACATGTATTAATTTGGGTATTTTACCCAC